AGGTGGTTGCTAGGATGTTGCTAGGTGTTGCTATGATATTCCTGTTAGAGTGTTACTATGGGGTTGCTCTGGTATCCCAGGGGATTGCTACGGTGTTGCTATGCAGTTGCTACAGTATCCTTGAGGGTTGTTAGGGAGTTGTCAGGTGGTTGCCATGATATAATATGAGGTTGATAAAGTGTTTCTAATGGACGTAATATCAACTTATTGATATAAACTCATTCCTATCGGGAAAAAATTTGGCATTTCACAATGGTTGTATGAAAATGCTGTGCTGGTTGGACACCAACCAAAATTCAAAATTACTGTCGGCCCCAAGTTAAATTAATTTGTATCTATAAATAGCATATTATTTTGACAATTAGTATTGTTTTTTTTTTGTCAAGATTTTGTTACAAAAATATAAAATAAACTTCCATATCAACATTTGGGCCCTGTTAGCCACCACAAAGATAGAACGACCCAAATACCAAGAACATAACTCTGCTGAAACTGCTCAACTGTAAGTCTCAGTTGAATCTGTTTACTGGAGCATATAAGCATGAAATTGTTCTCTACACACTTAAAAATGATGGTTCTTCAAAGGGTCTTTAATAAAGATAGTGTATAGAACCATAAACACCCAGAGAACCCTTTGCATGATTACATTGCTCTCTGCATCGTGAAAGTGTTCTTGAGATTGATGGTTCTATATAAAACCTTACTGGAAAAGTTCTATATAACACCAAAAGGGTCCTTCTATTGTTACAAGCTTGACACTGTATCCAAAGCAGAACCCTTCTTTGGTACTACATAAAACCATTTTCAGAAAGGTTCCATAAAGAACCATATACAACATTTATGCATGAAATGTTCCATATACACTGAAGAATGATGGTTCTTTAAGAGTTTTTAGTAAAAAAAATGGTTCAAAATATAACCATGATCACCCAAAGAACACTTTGCATGATTAGACCGGTCTTTGCATCATTAAACATTGTTCAGATTGTTGGGGAATGTGCTGTAGATGGTTCTACATAGAACATTTTTGAAAATGGTTCTATATTGCAACAAAAGGGTTCTTCTATTGTGTCAAGATTGACATCGTAACAGTAGACAAACCCTTTTTGGTGCTATATAGAACCATTTTCAAAATGGTTCTATACTGAACCATATACGACACATTCTCCATCAATATGAGAATAAAAAATTAAGCATAAAATGGTTCTACACACTTAAAAATTACGGTTCTTCAAAGGATTCTTTAGCAAAGAAAATGGTTCTTTCATAGAACCATGAACACCTAAAGAAGACTTTGCATGATTAAACTTTGCATGACTGCTAATAGCATCCTGAAAGTGTTCTTCAGATTGATGGACAATATGCTGTAGAGGGTTCTACATAGAACCTTTCTGAGTAGGGTGCTATACAGCTTCAAAAAGGGTTCGTCTATTGTTACGATATTAATCTTGACACAATAGAACAACCCTTTTGGTGCTATATAGAACCCATTTCAAAAATGTTCTATGTAGAGCCATCTACAGCACTTCCGCAAAGCAAAGAACTCTTTAACTAAGCAAAGTGTTCTCTGGGATGTTCATGGTTCCATATAGAACCATTTTCTTTACTAAAGAGCCCCTGAAAAACCATGTGTGAATAGAACCATTTCATGATTAATAGTTCTTCATATTGATGGACAATGTGTTCTATACAGTTCTATATACAGTAGAACCTTTTTGAAAATGGTTCTATATAGCACCAAAAAGGGTTCTTCTTTTGTGTCAAGCTTAACATAACAATAGATGAACCCTTTTCAAAAAAGTTCTATATAGAACCATCTACAACACATTCTCCTTCAATCTGAACATCCCTTTCATGATGCAAAGAACTGTTAAATCATGGAAAGGGTGCTTTAAGTGTTTATGGTTCTATATAGAACCCTTAAAGAACCATCTTTTTTAAGTGTATCAGTGTAGAAATCATTTCTATTGATACTGATGTGTCTGTGAGAAACACCTCACAGAGCAGATTGTAGAAATCTACTCTATGAATCCACAGCATGTAGGTCACCTCACGGCCAGCCTTCCCACCAGACGGCCTGCTGGAGTCCTCCTCCGCAGCTCCAGCCCTGCTTTAACGGGTTAAACGGCTCTCCAGCCTCGGGCTGTGAGGGACCGTGACGGGACTCCACGCTTTGTTTTGCCATGCGTACTTCAATGTGCGAACGCCTCGGCCAATGAGGGCGGAGAGGAGCACGCCCCCGCTCGGCCAGCCAATGAGGCGCGAGGTGGGCGGGGCGGGCGAGCAGCCTGCGCTTTGAAGCGCGTGCAGGCGCGCGGGTCTCTCCACTCTCGGCGCGCGCGCGTCCATGGATTACACGCTCTCCGTGCAAGTGCAGCAGCAGCTCACCGTCTACCCAACGCATCTGCGGCAGGTCTACAGCCTGGAGCTACAGGTACGTGCGCGATTCGAGCCTCGTCCCTCGCAGCTGTGCGTCCCACCGCCGTCTTCCTCGGGCATCCCTTCAGAACGGACACTGTGCATTTCTGCCAAGCACAACAAGCGTGCGCGCGTGCTCTCGTGCTCCGTTTAAACTGCCGCACTTTGGCGCGAGCGTCTCGTTTCCGCGCGCGTGAGCCAAAGCTCGCGCTCTCTCCTCGCGCACGCTCACCTGTTGGGATGTTTTTGCAGGGCGCGTGCTGTGGTTTAGATGCGCGCGCGTGATCCACATTTTAAAGGGCCCATATCCTACATATCATACATTTTTATCAGTTTCTTTCTTTATTTCTTTATTTCATTGGTTTGTGCGGTTTTATGCCCCCCAAAACATTTCCAACCTCTCTGTATCCCTTTGTACGTCAGAGTGGTTTGGTGTGAAATGGTTGATTGTAGAGACTTTAGAGACTTTTTTGATTTCTTTACAGTGGTGGTGATGGGAACCAGGGGTCGCCATGACTACAACGCAAATATAGCCATTTTATTTACTATCCAAAACCACCGCGTGACATCTGAGTGTTTATATGTAATGTTGATGATAGTAAAATAGTGATAAATCTGAAAATAATAACTTTTCTTTGGGGAATATTTTGCCTCACAATACTCTCTGCCATGAAAGTGTTTTAAAATAATACATTTTAGACCAAAAATCTTATCCAAACTACCAGTAAACAATACGTAAAACAACAGGCAGAGCATCACAACAATTTTCTTTCTGTGAGGGAGCTTTTAGAGGTGGACGTCTGGTTCCTATCACCACCACTACATGACCATTTCCCAACCTCACTTTATTCCTTAAAATAAAACACAAAATGTGAAATATAGGGGTCCTGGGGGGTACAGCATCTCCAATTAACCTCTTGGACCCCTTGAAGGTCTCAAACTCAAAATCAAACCTTATCATAATGTTATGCTGTTCATTAGAGAAAAAAAGGACACTCAAATCCAAATTCAGGGAAAGGTCATTGTTAACCTGCTTCACCCAGAGTCAGTGAGCTTCTGTCTTTGGTATCCTTAAGTAACTAGTGATGCTGCATTGGTCTGCCTCATGGTGGCGCTGCAGCAAATTGGTTCACCCAGTTCCTTCATAGCCTAGCAACTGCCTGAACAATGCCTGGGATACCTCTGAAAAACTTTACAATATGCTGTAACATCTAAAAAAACCTGCCCAGCTTCTCAAGGGTTTGGTGGAAAGAGTGGATTGTTATTCATTTCTCCAACTGAAGACATAAGAAGAAGACCACACTACCAAACTAGAAAAGAGTATTTCCAGTAGACAAACTGTTAAACCAGACATTTTGTTGGCATTGAAGCTAGCATTAGCACTGCCATGGTGAGTGAGCCGGCATGGGACCACCGGAATAGCAAGGCAAATTTCACACACTGATTAAACACAAACCTTTTGCTTTTGTAACTGCCTTTAAGATTGATGTATTTAAATGAGCTCTGTTCTGATTGGCTGCCTCGTTCAAGAAGCAATCCAGGTTGAAACTTGCCCTGTAAGTTCAGCAGAAATGGGCGGAGCTAAACTGCTGTAGGTGGAATATGGGAATATGGAAATGTGTTGTTTTTTTGTGACGTCACAATATCACAAAACCAATACATTTAAAACTTGCTGGTTTTGCAGGTTAGTTTCCATACGTGGACTGTATGAACTGAACCTGTAAGACTAACTACTTTAAGAGCTCATTTATGGAAAAAAAGGGCTGGGACTTCCTTTAAATCAAGTGCAGGAAAAATGTTGTAATGTGCAGTGCAGTGGGACACAGTCTGGAAACTGATAGCATATAGTTGTGAGACTGAAGTGACCATAAAGATTACAAGTAAACAAGTCTAAACAAGCAAACAACAAAAATGAACTTCCATTTAATATCAGTTAGACTAGCATTCAACCTAAAGCGCACAACTTTTCAACATTTCTGCGTAATTCAGTGGTTGAGATGAAAACAAATTATTCAGAGTGGTTTGGTGTGAAATGGTTGATTGTAGAGACTCAGATGTCTTTACAGTGGTGGTGATAGGAACCAGGGGTCACCATGACTACAACACAAATATAGCCATTTTATTTACTATCCAAAAAAAAATCATGTGTAAAATCAGTGTAGATCATGTGTAAAATCAGTGTAAAATCAGTGTAGAAATCATTTCTATTGATACTGATGTGTCTGTGAGAAACACCTCACAGAGCAGATTGTAGAAATCTACTCTATGAATCCACAGCATGTAGGTCACCTCACGGCCAGCCTTCCCACCAGACGGCCTGCTGGAGTCCTCCTCCGCAGCTCCAGCCCTGCTTTAACGGGTTAAACGGCTCTCCAGCCTCGGGCTGTGAGGGACCGTGACGGGACTCCACGCTTTGTTTTGCCATGCGTACTTCAATGTGCGAACGCCTCGGCCAATGAGGGCGGAGAGGAGCACGCCCCCGCTCGGCCAGCCAATGAGGCGCGAGGTGGGCGGGGCGGGCGAGCAGCCTGCGCTTTGAAGCGCGTGCAGGCGCGCGGGTCTCTCCACTCTCGGCGCGCGCGCGTCCATGGATTACACGCTCTCCGTGCAAGTGCAGCAGCAGCTCACCGTCTACCCAACGCATCTGCGGCAGGTCTACAGCCTGGAGCTACAGGTACGTGCGCGATTCGAGCCTCGTCCCTCGCAGCTGTGCGTCCCACCGCCGTCTTCCTCGGGCATCCCTTCAGAACGGACACTGTGCATTTCTGCCAAGCACAACAAGCGTGCGCGCGTGCTCTCGTGCTCCGTTTAAACTGCCGCACTTTGGCGCGAGCGTCTCGTTTCCGCGCGCGTGAGCCAAAGCTCGCGCTCTCTCCTCGCGCACGCTCACCTGTTGGGATGTTTTTGCAGGGCGCGTGCTGTGGTTTAGATGCGCGCGCGTGATCCACATTTTAAAGGGCCCATATCCTACATATCATACATTTTTATCAGTTTCTTTCTTTATTTCTTTATTTCATTGGTTTGTGCGGTTTTATGCCCCCCAAAACATTTCCAACCTCTCTGTATCCCTTTGTACGTCAGAGTGGTTTGGTGTGAAATGGTTGATTGTAGAGACTTTAGAGACTTTTTTGATTTCTTTACAGTGGTGGTGATGGGAACCAGGGGTCGCCATGACTACAACGCAAATATAGCCATTTTATTTACTATCCAAAACCACCGCGTGACATCTGAGTGTTTATATGTAATGTTGATGATAGTAAAATAGTGATAAATCTGAAAATAATAACTTTTCTTTGGGGAATATTTTGCCTCACAATACTCTCTGCCATGAAAGTGTTTTAAAATAATACATTTTAGACCAAAAATCTTTTCCAAACTACCAGTAAACAATACATAAAACAACAGGCAGAGCATCACAACAATTTTCTTTCTGTGAGGGAGCTTTTAGAGGTGGACATCTGGTTCCTATCACCACCACTACATGACCATTTCCCAACCTCACTTTATTCCTTAAAATAAAACACAAAATGTGAAATATAGGGGTCCTGGGGGGTACGGCATCTCCAATTAACCTCTTGGACCCCTTGAAGGTCTCAAACTCAAAATCAAACCATATCATAATGTTATGCTGTTCATTAGAGAAAAAAAGGACACTCAAATCCAAATTCAGGGAAAGGTCATTGTTAACCTGCTTCACCCAGAGTCAGTGAGCTTCTGTCTTTGGGATCCTTAAGTAACTAGTGATGCTGCATTGGTCTGCCTCATGGTGGCGCTGCAGCAAATTGGTTCACCCAGTTCCTTCATAGCCTAGCAGCTGCCTGAACAATGCCTGGGATACCTCTGAAAAACTTTACAATATGCTGTAACATCTAAAAAACTTGCCCAGGTTCTCAAGGGTTTGGTGGAAAGAGTGGATTGTTATTCATTTCTCCAACTGAAGACATAAGAAGAAGACCACACTACCAAACTAGAAAAGAGTATTTCCAGTAGACAAACTGTTAAACCAGACATTTTGTTGGCATTGAAGCTAGCATTAGCACTGCCATGGTGAGTGAGCCGGCATGGGACCACCGGAATAGCAAGGCAAATTTCACACACTGATTAAACACAAACCTTTTGCTTTTGTAACTGCCTTTAAGACTGATGTATTTAAATGAGCTCTGTTCTGATTGGCTGCCTCGTTCAAGAAGCAATCCAGGTTGAAACTTGCCCTGTAAGTTCAGCAGAAATGGGCGGAGCTAAACTGCTGTAGGTGGAATATGGGAATATGGAAATGTGTTGTTTTTTTGTGACGTCACAATATCACAAAACCAATACATTGAAAACTTGCTGGTTTTGCAGGTTAGTTTCCATATGTGGACTGTATGAACTGAACCTGTAAGACTAACTACTTTAAGAGCTCATTTATGGAAAAAAAGGGCTGGGACTTCCTTTAAATCAAGTGCAGGAAAAATGTTGTAATGTGCAGTGCAGTGGGACACAGTCTGGAAACTGATAGCATATAGTTGTGAGACTGAAGTGACCATAAAGATTACAAGTAAACAAGTCTAAACAAGCAAACAACAAAAATGAACTTCCATTTAATATCAGTTAGACTAGCATTCAACCTAAAGCGCACAATTTTTCAACATTTCTGCGTAATTCAGTGGTTGAGATGAAAACAAATTATTCAGAGTGGTTTGGTGTGAAATGGTTGATTGTAGAGACTCAGATGTCTTTACAGTGGTGGTGATAGGAACCAGGGGTCACCATGACTACAACACAAATATAGACATTTTATTCACTATCCAAAAACTATCAGCACTACTGTGAATAATTCTGACTTCACTAGAATGGAGAATTTCACACTAAACCAGTCTGAATGACTTATTTTACATCTTAACCATTTATTTATGCAGAAAATCTAAAAATCTGAGGAATTTCTGATCCATTTGAATATGACTGCCATCACTGACGTTTGTGTTATTACACATCTCATTGTTTCATCCTTCAAATTACAGCAGGCAAGGCCGAGTCAGCCCGAATGGGCCTTATTAGAAGACAGAAAAACTTCCACAGGATCCCAGCTTGACCCCTCTGTTTTGGACTAAGCCTAGCTGAAGCAGGGCTGAATAATCAGTTGTTTAATCACAGTTTGAAAGAGTGCAATTTTCAAAAGACAAGAGCTGCAGTTTTGATTATGGCCTGTTAAGTAGAGAAATGTAATCTAATAACCGCCTGTAAATGAAGCAGACAAATTAGAAGCAACCAAACAATGCATTACTTCAAATGATTTGCACAATTTGTTTAACAAACTGGAAAAAACACACACACAAAAAACATAAATGTGCGTTAAGTCTTGTAATGGCAATGTTTTTTTTTTTCCCCCAGTATGTTAACCTCTATTGCATGAATTATTACTCAAACATGATAAAAATGTTTTAATGTGTTTTTGTTAATTAAAATTTCTTAAATAATGGAAATACTTGGAATTTATGGCAACAATGCGCAATCGCACCATAGCACCATAAAATAATAAAAAAAAAACCCATAAAATCTAATTTTGCTCTGAAAACATCCTTTTATTTAAAAACATGACCAAACAAATCAAACGTATACTTAGTAAAATGAATGACGCAATATTTACTAATATTGGAAATTATCACAATTTCAATTGTTATTTGGAATGTATGTTAATAACATCAGAATAAGAATTCCTAGTCATTTGAAGTCATAAAGTATTTGTCCTTTTTAAAGTAAAAGACCCTTTTACCGCCATTAAATAGGAAAACACAGATTTTACAGTACTGCTTTTTGGTAAAATTGAGATAAAATAATTGTTGCCATATGGCAACACCATGCAATAGAGGGTTAAATGAAGCAAACAAACAGCAACGGTGCATCAAAATGTGCAGAAGTGTGTTCTCTGCAGAGGATGCGCACTTATTTTCACTTGTAATAGGAGCAGGGGCGCCTAAACTTTTGCACACAACCTGCATTGTAATTAATGCTATGAAAGCACCACTTTTAAGCACCATAGTAATTATCATCACAGTAGCTCTACTGTAATTAGTTTGACAATAGCTGGCTGCAGTAAATATTTGCATGCATGGCTGCATGCTTTACTCCTCTTTGAAGATCTTATCGTGCATGCATTGGCCACAGGAGCTTTCCTCTCTTAACCCCCTACCAAAACGTGAACGCAGCGTGCTTTATGCATCGGTAATTGCAGGGCAGCGTCTTTGTGCGCTGGCCATTTCAGCAGGCGCGCACGGCGTGTTTAATGAGCTCTTCCGCTGCCATGCTGCGCTTTCATCCGCTGCTGCTCAGCGCTTATTATCGGCCATCAGAAATGGGCTTTGCTTGTATACTTGTGTACTTATGCATATGAACCTGCGACGCCTTTGAAGTTCCTCCTGCAGGTGCAGGTTTGGCTTTGGCGTAGAGGTAGCTTTACGCGGATCCCTCACAGAGACGAGGCAAATAGCCCTATGAGATAAGAGGCTTTTCCAGTTCCGAGCCCAAGCATGGCAGAACTTGTTGCCCAGCTCAACAAATGCAGACGTTCTCTTTTACTGCTCTGAGAGAACTTTCAAACGCGCCCTCTAATTAGATTTCTTTGTGAAAGTCAACCAGTGACTTTGCAGGACTGGCTCAAGCTTGTGGGTGGCACGTTAATGTTCTAAGAGATCATGACACAAACGTAAGCTTGTGAAGCTTTAACCTACATAAGGCTCATTTCAATAGACTTCGTCTAATGTTGTAATCGAGCACACTAGAGGCGAGTCCGAGTCAAGGCCGAGACCTGGATGCAGTGAGTCTGAGTCAAGATCAAAGCTTTATCTTTGGAGTGGGGAGATTTTTCAGAATACAAAGTAAAAAGAAGATAAAAAGACTGAAATTCATGTGTAGCTCAACGTGACATACGTTAATTATACATGGTATTGTACATTGTAATATCTTTTGTAAGTATAACATTAAATAATACATAGACTAGGACCATTATTAATTATACTGTAGTCTTAATCTAAATTTTGCATTGTAACTTTTGGCAGCAAATGTCATTCTCTGTCTCTTCTTCCCTAAAACTTCTTAAGAAGTCATCACCTGAAATCAACTCAATGTAAACCAAAAATCATACATCTTTTTTTATTAGTAAATGAAAAAGGTAGTAATAGCTAGGATTTGACTAAGCTGCTGCTACAGTATCCCAGGTGGTTGTTAAGGTTTTGCTAGGCCATTCCTACTCTATCCCAGGTGGTTGCTAAGGTATTGCTAGGTCTTGCTATGCTTTTCCAAGTGGTTGCTAAAGTATTGCTAGGCCATTGCTATGCTTTCCCAGGTGGTTGCTAAGATATTGCTTGGGCATTGATATGCTTTCCTAGGTGGTTGCTAAAGTATTACTAGGCCATTGCTACTGTATCCCAGATGGTTGCTTAAGTATTCCTAGGCCATTGCTATGCTTTCCCAGGTGGTTGCTAAGGTATTGCTAGGCCATTGCTACTGTATCCCAGATGGTTGCTTAAGTATTGCTAGGCCATTGCTATGCTTTCCCAGGTGGTTGCTAAGTGGCATTAGGTCCACAACCAGCACTACAACTCATGAGCTTTCTAGTTCTGTAGTTTAGTTTAGGTACTGCCCAGGGATCAGACATCAGACTACCTACAAAATAGTATAACCTGCCAACTTCAAAAT